TAATTTTCTAAATTTTTTAGGGGCGCTGCAGGCTGGATAGAATGGCCTGGTGGGCTGCATCCGGTCCCCGGGCCGCACTTTGCCGACCCCTGGGTTAGATCCTCAGCTGTTATAATTCAGCATAGCTACTGTAGTGACTCAGCCAGAGTACTGGGGCGCCCTGGGGCGCTGCCAGATCCTTTGAAGAGTACCGTAAGGTGTGCAGAGATAAGTGATGCATGAGGAGATAAGTGGATAAAGCTAAGCAGATAAGCCAGGTTTAGGCTTGTCCTGCCCTGGACTGTCCTCCTCCCCTACTGCCTAGCCCATGTGTAGGGAGGTAAGCACTGTAATATATAAATTAGTTTTTGAAATTGGGTGCCACTCAATTCACAGAAGTTATGGGGGGGTGCCTCGAGTCTAGGGAGGAGTGCTTCAAGTACAAAAAGGTTGAGAATCACAGCTGTACTGTAATCAGAACCACTGTTCTATTGAAATCAGTAGAACTTTGCTATAGGCAGATCCAGAATTTTGTAAAGGGGAGTGTGTGTGCACATGGGCCTTGGGGGTGGTGGCAGTTCTGGCTCCAGCTCCCTCCCCAACTGGGACAGGAAGACCACAACATGGGGGTAGTGGAATTGGGCAAGAATCCCACCCCCAACTAGAGATGCACTGATACATTGGTTCATATTGTATTGGCACCGATAAAAGGAAAATTGACATTATTGGCAGTTGGCTTCTTTGGCCCATGTGACCAATAATATCACTGATAAATGCCATGTGCATATGCACAGCTGTAGGATGCACATGGCCAGGAATGCAGCTTGGTAGCATTTGGCCAGTAAGTTGGGGGGGAGGGGTGTGAGGGAGGGATTGGAGGTGTTGGGGGGGGGGGCGCAAATTGAGGCCCCTGTGGTGAGGGAGGGAGTGGGGTAGGTGCTGGCGGGGTGGAGCTGCAGGTGACTTACCAGCCCCATTCCCTCCCTCACTGTGGGGGGCCTTGATCTACCCACTCCCATGCTGCCCCCCCCCCCCCCCCCCCCCCCCC